GTGTACCATTCCCTCACTTTTGTTTTTAAAGCCAGTTTTTCAGAGTTCTTGTGAAATCAGGGCAGAAGCGCCAGAAGCCGCTCCTTTCACACTCAGAGAATCATGAAGACATTATTTAAAGAAATATAAATCTATATCAATAATCTCTTTTGTCAAAGGACTCTTATAGAAGAGCCAGCAACTGATCAGACCATATATAATATATTAATTAATAATAGCTTCTACTTTTTGTGAGATTACTCCTGTTTTGTCAATCAATTGTTGAGGGAAATTAGGATTTACATCTCTCTTGAGAATATTAAACAGAGACTTAAATTCTTTTGTGGAGAGCTTAAAATAAGATCTTAGCCAATTAGCATCTCCTAGAAACTTTTGAAAGTAATTTGGAGTAAACTCACTTTTTTTTTTCCAGACCTGTTATCTTTTTTTTTGGTTATTTTCCATATTTACCTTTCAATGTTATCTCCTCTCCCATTCTTCCCCAAAACCCCTTATCCCATACCCCCTCCTCCTATTTTTATGAGGGTGTGCTTCAAACATCCTTCCAGTCCCATCTCCCTGCTCTCCAATTCGCCAATACTAGGGAATCCAAACTTTCAGGGACCATGGCCCTCAACTTCCACTGATGTCTGACAAGACCACCCTCAATTACCTTTACAGGTGGAGACATGAGTCTCTCCCTTTGTGCTCTCAGGCTGGAGGTTTAGACTTTGGGAGGTCTGGTTGAATCTTTTGATACTCCTTCTAAAAAGGACCAGAGCACCCACACTTTGGTCTTCCTTCTTCTTCTTGAGTTTCATGTGGTCTATGCATTGTGTCTTAGGTATTGTGAGCTTTTGGGCTAATATGCACTTATCAGTGAGTGCTTACCATGTGTGTTCTTTTGCGATTGGGTCACCTCACTCAGGATGATATTTTCCAGCTCCATCCATTTGCCTAAAAATTTCATGAACTCATTGTTTTTAATAGCTGATTAGTACTCCATTGTATAAATGTACCACATCTTCTGCTGTTGAAGGACATCTGGATTCTTTCTAACTTCTAGCTATTATAAATAAGGCTGCTATGAACATAGTAGAGGATGTGTTCCTATTGTATGTTGAAACACCTTTTGAGTATATGCCCAGGAGTGGTATAGCTGTGTCCTCAGGTAACACTATGTTCAATTTTCTGAGGTACCACCAGACTGCTTTCCATAGTGGTTGTACCAGCTTACAGCCCCACCAACAATGGAGGAGTATTCTTCTTTCTCCACATCCTTGCCAACATCTTCTGTCACCTGTGTTTTTGATCTTTGCCATTCTGACTAGTGTGAGGTGGTATCTCAGTGTTGTTTTCATTTGCATTTCCCTGATCACTAGGGATGCTGAACACTTCTTTAGGTGCTTCTCAACGATTTGAGCTTCCTCAGTTGAGAATCCTTTGTTCAGCTCTGTGCCCCATGTTTTAATAGGGTTATTAGATTGTCTAGAGTCTATTTCCTTCAGTTCTTTCAATACCTTGGATATTAGCTTTCTATCAGATGTAGGGTTAGGGGAGGCCTTTCCCCAATCTGTTGGTTGCCCCTTTGTCCCATTGACTGTGTCCTTTAATTTACAGACGCTTTGAAGTTTTATGAGGTCCCATTTGTCAGTTCTTGATATTATGATCAATTCTTGATCTTAGAGCATAAGCCATTGCTATTCTGTTCAGGAAGTTTTCTCCTGTGCCCACGTGTTCCAGGCTTTTCCCCATTTTCTCTTCTATTAGTTTCAGTGTAGCTGGCTTTATGTGGAGGTCCCTGATCCACTTGGAATTGAGCTTTGTACAAGGAAATAAGTATGGATCAATTTGTATTCTTCTACATGTTGACCTCCAGTTGGACCAGCACCATTTGTTGAAAATGCCGTCTTTTTTCCACTGGATGGTTTTAACTCTTTTGTCAAAGATCGAGTAACCATAGACATGGGGATTCATTTCTGGGTCTTCTATTCTATTCCACTGATCCTCCTGCCTGTCTCTGTTCCAGTACCATGCCGTTTTTATCACTATTGCTTTGTAGTACAGCTTGAAATCAGGGATGATGATTGCCCCAGAAGTTTTTTTTTTTTTTATTGCTGAGAGTAGCTTTTGCTATTCTGAGTTTTTTGTTATTCCAAATGAATTTTAAGATTGCTCTTTCTATCTCTGTGAAGAATTGAGTGGGAATTTTGATGCGGATTGCATTTAAATCTGTAGATTGCTCTTAGCAAGATAGCCTTTTTTTTTTTTTTTTTTTTACCTTTGCTTTTTCGAGACAGGGTTTCTCTGTGTAGTTCTAGCTGTCCTGGAACTCACTCTGTAGACCAGGCTGGCCTCGAACTCAGAAATCCACCTGTCTCTGCCTCCCAAGTGCTGGGATTAAATGCCTGCACCACTGCCTGGCTTTTTTTTGTTTTTTGTTTTATAACCTTTTTTACTATATTAATCCTTGCAATCCCTGAGCATGGGAGATCTTTCCATCTTCTGAGATCTATTGCTATGTTTATGTGTGGACCTTGAATTCCTGAACTTTCCAAGACTTTTACCATGAAGGGGTATTGAATTTTGTCAAATGCTTTCTCAGCATCTAGTAATATGATCATGCGGTTTTTTCTTTGAGTTTGTTTTTTTTGGGAGAGGGGAGGGTGGTGGCAGGTTCTTAATGTTTACTTCAAGCAGTCCTGAAACTCATTACATAGACTAGGCTGGTCTCCAATGAGATTCCCATATCTCTGTCTCCTGGGTGGTACAATTAAAGGCATGCACCAACACACTCAGCTTGCCTATCTCTTTTTGTAGATAGTCATCATTCATATCATTTCTCTGATGTGTATAGTATTGATCTATTTGTCTCTGACTGTATGGCTGTTAATAGGCCTTTCTGCTACAAGTTTACATCCTATTTAAAGGGCCCAGAAATGACAAGGTTGGACCCCCTTTTCAGTTTCCTTCTAAAATGACTTGGTGATTGCATTAGAATTTCTGTATCATGGAGTAAGTGTGGAAATCACCAGTGTTATATGAATATATTCTTAAAGAAGTGTATATTTAATATATTGTCAGAATTATGCTTTCTATTAAACACATGTATGGATATTTTAGGATGCACTGATGTATGATGATGTCCATATTAACTTCACTCCAGAAGAATGGGCTTTGCTGGATCCTTCCCAGAAGACTCTCTACACAGATGTGATGCTGGAGACCTACCTGAACCTCACTGCTATAGGTAAGACGATGACTTTTAATCCATTTATTAAAATATGAGGAAAGATGTTTCTTGGTTATTGAGCTCTTCTTTAACTTTGATTGTGAAAGAGCAACAATGTGGTAAATAAATCAGGCATAGTTCTAAGGTTCATTGATCAGAGTAACTTAACTTTTCATCAGTTTTCATTATATATCATACATTTTCTGGTAATATATTTTAGGTTACAAATCAGAAGACAATAATATTGAAGAACATCTTCAAAATTCTAGAATATATGGAAGGTAAGTTTCATGTTTATACAAATATGTCACTAAAGAAATCTGAGTGTGCCCTTGAAGTTTTAAGAAAACTCAGTATAAGCAAGCATAGCTTTAAGTGTATTGATGATTAGTAAATTCTCACAACACCATGTAGCTCAATGTCAGGTAGTCAGGAAAAAAGCACAAGGAAACAATGACTTAACAGCTATTACATTTTAATTATATCCCCATGGGAACTGCTCTATAGAACTGCCAATTGATTTAGGTTGATACCTCTCAGTTATTGTGAAGGACATATACATAGATTAGATCATAAGTATATGTCTAAAATCTCCTAATCGGCAAACATTCCATAATAAATCCCACATTACTCATATACATTTATTGATTTACCAAAGTATAGTGAGAAGGGTAATTTATGAGATTCAAGAAGATTATGGTGTAGAAAACTTTATCCTGATATTACACCTCTGTGATGAACAAACAGTTAAACTGTATGAATGAAATGTGGAAACCTTTCATTTTTTATTCTTGCCATAAAGATACATGTCACATTAGATCAAAGACACTTGAGCATCTGGAACATGGAAAGTACCTTTCTCTCTCACAACAAGTAGAAGACATACAGTTGTCTCCACTTTGAGTAGACTGAGAAGGGGATATGAGTTTACAATTTATTTTGTATCCAACTTCATTGAGAATATGTAAATACATTCACACTGCAGAAAAGCCCTTTGAGTACAATGAACATGGACATTCTTCTGTTTGTCCTGGTTTATTTTGCAAATATAACATGACAATATAGCAAAATGATGGGTACAGTCACTGTGGCAAACCTCTGAGTTCTGCCAATTCTCTTTAGAAATGTGGAAAAACTCACATGAGAAAAATGTGTCAGAAAGATGAACCATGTACTAAACGCTTTAACCACCACAGCCATCTTCCAATATACAAAAGGAACCATAATAAAGGAGAAACTTATGAATCGAAACAAGTGATACAACTTTACAATTTGATCTCTTTTTACAGTAAACTAGACAAAATTGTAAAATTAAATTATATAGATAAAAAGAGTCATCACTGTAATCAATGTGGTAGTGTTTATACATGTCAATTGTCTTCACAGGCATAAAGGAAGTGTTGCCAGAGAGAAACCCTATGAATATATTCAATGTGATAAAGCCTCTACACTTCACAGTGCTCTTCAATGGTATGAAAGAATTCACTCTGAAGATAAACCGTATGAATGTGGTAAAGCCTTTTTTTACCACAGTAATCTCCAAAACCATAAAAGAACTCATAATGGAGAAAACCCCTATGAATGTGATATATGTGATAAAGCCTTTTCACAAACGAGTAATCTCCGACAGCAAAAAAAAACACATTCCAGAGAGAAACCCTATGAATGTAATGAATGTGGTAAAGCCTTTTTACAACCATGGAATCTGCGAAAGCATAAACGAACACATTCTGGAGAGAAACCCTATGAATGTAATGAATGTGGTAAAGCCTTTTCACAACACAGTACTCTCAAAAACCATAAAAGGACACATACTGGGGAGAAACCCTATGAATGTAATGAATGTGGTAAAGCCTTTTCACAACACAGTACTCTCAAAAACCATAGAAGGACGCATACTGGGGAGAAACCCTATGAATGTAATGAATGTGGTAAATCCTTTTCACGACAGAATCATCTCCAGAGACACAAAAGAACACATACTGGGGAGAAACCCTATGAATGTAATGAATGTGGTAAATCCTTTTCACGACAGAGTCATCTCCAGACACATAAAAGAACACATTCTGGAGAGAAACCCTATGAATGTAATGTATGTGGTAAAGCCTTTTCACAACATAATCATCTCCAGAAACATAAAAGGACACATATTGTGGAGAAACCTTATGAATGTGATCAATGTGGTAAAGTCTTTTCACAACAGGGTCCTCTCCAGAAACATAAAAGAACACACACTGGAGAAAAACCCTATGAATGCAAGGAATGTGGAAAAGCCTTTGCAGTTTTCTGTACTTTTCAGAATCATCAAAGAGTTTATACTGGAGAGAAACCCTATAAAGGCCTTTGGAGTTGACAATTATTTTCAAATACATAAAAGAACATAAGGTGGAGAGAAACCTTATGAATGTAGTCAGTGTGACAAATGCTTTGCACATTTCTATACACTTTGAAAACATGAATTACTTACTGGTGAGAAACCCTATGAATGCAACTCTTTACTGTCTAGTAAAGTTTTTTTAAAACAGAGTCATCACCAGAAACACAAAATAAAACATAGTCTAGAGAAATTGTACAAGTGTAATCAATGAGGTAAAGCCTTTGCAGTCCAGAGTTATCTCCAAATACATAGAAAAACATATATTGAAGAGAAACCCTAAATAAGAAGTGTGGTAAAGCCTTTTCACATGGTAGCCATATAATACCTAAAAGAACATTCACCAGATAGAAACCCTACAAATATAATCAGTGTGAGAAAACCTTTTCACAATAGTTATCTCTAAATTAAAAACAACAACAACAAAAATATATTGGAGATTTTTTCTGAATGTAAGCAATGTGGAAAAGCCTTTCCTTATCAGAGTTATCTCTGAAAACTCTTTTAGGTTTTCATATACACATACTGGAGAGTAAACTTATTAATGTAATTGCTGTATTTAAAGCTTCACGTATCATTTTCTGAGGACTTGAATCCCTACTGAAGGTAATCTGGGATTGTAAAATATTTGGTAATATTGTTAGCCGGCCCATTGCCTTTAATACACAAGATCATTTTTTCTGTGGGAATAATTTTATTCTGACAAGTGTCCACAATCTCTTTAAGCCTTTTGCCCATCGTTAGTTTGTTTGGACCTACAAAGTCATGGATAAAAGCCCTATGAATATACACTATTAGGTAGCACATTTATATTTCATTAATCTTTTCAATTATACCAAATAAGTCATCTAACTGTAAAACTTTATGGATCTGTCTTAGTACCCATTCTGATGCTTTGATAAAGCATAACATCTTTGGCAACTTATCAAACGCTTTATTTGGGTTCATGGTAGCAGAGGTGTATTTGATTACCATCATCGAGTCATGGCAAATAAAGAGTGTGAGATAGGACAGTAAAGCAGGAAGTTCAAAGCTCACACTCAAAGCATGAAGCAGCCAAGGGGAACAGGAGGTTATGTGAGGATTTAAATTCTCAAAACCAATCCCCAGTGACATGTTTTTGCCAGTAGGGGCAGCATTTACTAAATCTTTCCAAATGATAGCACCCACTGAGAATGGTTGATTTTCTGAATTCCAGCACAAATACTTACATTTTGGGAAGTGAACTCTTTCTTCTATGAGGAAGAAAAGCCCTGTAAATAAGCCCTTACATGTCTCATCATCTGGGCTACACTAATGAAGGCTTAGAGGAGAAAAACAGTCATGAGTGCAAATTGTGTTTTTTTTAGTGATTTGTTTAAATTTTACTTAGGTTTGTTAGTCTGTCACATGTATGTCCATGCTGCTTTCTGAGAAAGTTAGACTCTTGTATATTCTTGTACCAAGGATTCAGGAAGTTGTCAAAACTTGACCTCAGGTCATGGAATAAACATGTCTTTTTTTTTTTTTTTTGGTTTGGTTTTTCAAGACAGGGTTTCTCTGTGTAGCCCTGGCTGTCCTGGAACTCACTCTGTAGACCAGGCTAGCCTCGAACTCTCGAATTCAGAATCCGCCTGCCTCTGCCTCCCAAGTGCTGGGATTAAAGGCGTGCGCCACCACCGCCCGGGGAATAAACATGTCTTAACTACTTAGCTATGACCCTAGTCCTGTAAATATTTTAAAGTCTGTATACATTATCTTGATGTCATGAAATAGAAAGCACTCATAAAAGGAAAAACTATGTGCTTAAACAATATGCTGTAGATGTTAGACATCATAGTTTTCATCAGTTTCAAGACAAAGATCTCGTTCCATCTCTTTTTCTTAGCCTTGAAGGAAGTAAATTATTTGCCATGTTTATTCAAGTATAATGGTGTAGCTCAACACTGTAGTTTGTAATTTGAAACTTTTGGTTAGGTATTGAAATTTACTGTATGTGTGGTAAATCCATTTAGTGAGGTTTATTTGGTGATTCTCATGTTCCTTCTGTGGGTTTTGTTCCTTTATTGCTCCTTTACTTGCTGATACATATTTTCCTGCTAAAATGTGTACAGTGGGATTTCCATCATCTAAGTGATCGATTATTCGTTTCAATATAGGGTCTTCTGTAATCAGACTTTTCATGTCAGGTTATCTGTGAAAGGGTGGATGGTTGCTGTTAATGGGTTTTCATGAATTCCATTAAAATGCTGTTTTATCCAGCCTGGCTTGCACATCATTGATTACTCATGGATACATTTCAAGTCAGGATTGTTATGTGTAAACCTTCTGAATACCAGTAATTCCCAGTGTGTCCTGTTTTGTCAATGCATTTTAATTATGTTAATGCTAAAATTCTTAATAGAAGACTATAGAAGAAACATTAAATAACTTATTAAATCAAAGCAGCATTCATGTATTAGAGATGTTATGAGATAGGACAGTCAGCATTGAAGTTGATATCTTCTAACATAGGTGGATGTGCTATGGATGGTTTTCTTAGGGTTTCATTTGTGAAGAGACAGCATGACAAACACAACTCTTGTAAGTGAAAACAGTTAATTGGTTCTGGTTTGCAGTTTTTGAGGTTTAGTCCATTATCATCATGGTGGGAAGTAGGACAGCATGTATGTGGACATGGTGCTGGTGATGGAGGTGAGAACTCTACAGTTTGGTCCACAGGTAGCAGAAAGAGACTGTATACCATACATGGTATAGCTTGAACATAAATGACTTCAAAGTCGACTTTTTCACACTTCTCAGACACTTCTCAGACAGTGTCATACCTACTCCAATAAGGCTACATTTCCTACTGGTGCCCCTCCTTGTAGAAAAGGATGTAGGGTCCATATTCTTACCCCCATACTCAAAGTCCTGCTCTCCATAGGCTTGTAGCCGGAACACAATACCACATGCATTGTTTTATTGGAAAGATTTTATTTTTCTCAGATTTTTTTTGTTCACATCCAGTTCACTGATCACACCCAGACTACCTTCACAAAATACTTACCCCATTGGCCTTCCCTTCTCCTCTTAAAGTGTGGAGCCACCTTTGTATCCATCCTCCCTGCCTTGCAACTTCAGTTCTCTGTGAAGCTAGGTGCTTCCTCTCCCACTGAGGCCAGACAATGTAAGCTCCCAACTTCCTTGTCAGGAGCCATAATAGGACAAGCTAATCATTAGCAGTTGATCATCCTGAAATGCTTGCCTCGGATTATTATCTGCGACAAGTGTGCTACATCAGCAAGGCTATGCTGGACATATTTTAGGAAAGATCCTGCTATTAATTTGCTTTTCCTATTATTATTAAACATATATAACAATCACTAAGCAATAGCACTCCTTTTTGGAGCAGATCTCTGCACACCCACGAAGATGTACTATCTTGTAGTGTTGCTATATAGACAAATAGACGACTTCTCAAGTCTTAATGATGATCCTATACGAATTTCTAAAATTATATCAATGATTATTAAGCTCTTTTATAGTGGGAATGCTATTAAGTTCCTTTCTGATATTCAAAACTGCAACGAGAACTCTGCCAGTCTCCCAAGTGTCATCAGTTAACAGCCCTTATATAGGAACCAGACTCTCTCCTGCTCAGGGCACATTCCAAGGTGGTTGTAAAACAACCAAGGGTCACTAAAATGGAACTCACGATTTAGTATAGGTGCTAGGACAGAGGAGAAAATATTGCTTGAGTTTATCTATACAAAACTTCACTAATTTCTTATTTACAGTTTTAAACAT